GATAGATAGATAGATAGATAGATAGATAGATAGATAGATAGATAGATAGATAGATCTGTCTGTCTGTCTGTCTGTCTGTCTGTCTGTCTGCCTGTCTGTCTGTCTGTCTGTCTGTCTGTCTGCCTGTCTGTCTGTCTGTCTTATGTCTGTGCGGGAACGAAAAAATGTACTTTCTTTGGAACGGTGTACATGTAAAAATAAAAAAAGCAACATCACCCGACATGCAGGTAAAAAATAAAGCTTCCCTGCTTGTCTCTCCCGCTCTCTTCCTCCGCCTAATCTTTTCCTCCCGTTCTCTTCTCTTCCAGTGAGGCACGGGCTGAGAGAGCCAGAGAAGATGGAAGAACTCCAGATGAAAATCATCGACTGTCTTCGCGACCACTGCACGTACAACAGCGAGGCTCAACGAAAACCACATTTCTTCTCCCGAATTCTCAGCAAGATCGCAGAGTTGCGCACCTTGAGTCGCGAAGGGCTGCAGTGCATGACGGAAGTGGCAAAATTTGATGACGTGATTTCAGCACCGTCTGTGATTCAAAATTATATTTCGAATCAGTTGCCTTTTTAAGAAACGATTATTATTATTTATTTATGTGATTGATTCAATGGCTTTACGGTTAAAGATGCTCATGTGTTCTTACGTAGCGGTGAAAAAAATAGTACGAGTGTGCGTTATTATTATTATTGTTTTCGTAGTTTTTACACGTTTTTTTTCTTTTTTATAATTGTACTTTTTTGTTTCTGATTATTTCTTCTGCTTCTTGAACAATTTAGAAGGCAGTTTAAAAAAACAAATTATCTGTCTTTATCAAGTCCCTAATCATTTGTTCTAATTGATATCAACACAACGTAAACTGTTGTTATTGTATTTTGTAAAACAAGTAAAGAGGGTGTCCTGATACACAAAGCGTTAAGTTTATGCCCTGACCTTGTTCTATTAGCTTGTTTGAATGTTTCTTTTATTAGATTTAAATGTTTCTTATTTCCTTGGGCAAGATGACGGTGCAGGTCAGATAGATCTGAAAGAAAGGAATGTACATTTTCACTGCCAAACGCCTATATTTGTTTTTCATACGTATGCATTTTAAAAATAATTTATAATAATGCAAAACACCGGGTGGAAGTGTTTTGCTTGTTGGGTTTTTGTGTTTAAAAAAGGGTTGTTTTTGTCAGTTCGTTTCTCTGAAATGTTGGGCAGACGTTGTTATAAATTATAAATTAAATGAAGTGGGTTGGCTTCCTGCCAAGTTCGTTTAGTTTTTTCTTGTTTTGTTTTGTTTTGTTTTTGTTTTTTTTTCTTTTGTTTTTTTTTCAGGGGGAAGAGGGTGGAACTGGGGGGGGGGGTTGCTTGTTTTATTTCTTTGTTCGGTTTGCTAAGAAAGAACATACGCTTTCGTAGTATCAGCATTGATCTGAAGACATTCTGTGTCTCCAAACACACACTGTTTGTTCACGTCCACTGTTTCTGGTTACGATTCTTTGACGCAGACGACAGCATCACCTTCTTGGTTCAGATATTACTGTAAAAAAGTGTGACTTTGTGAACACTTTTAATGGTTGTGAAAGTAAACATAATAATGATGTCCTTCGTAAGCTATATCGTATTCGATAAAGACGGATTTGCACTGGTACTTTATACATAGTTCTTGTGCCCGTCTAATATTGTTATAGTTTGTTTGTTTTTTTTGGAGATTTTTTTATGGAGGAGGGGGGAGGGGTGTACCCGATTTCAAATTACTCTCCAATAGGGCTGAGTCAATTGGATGGAGAGCTTTGTAAATTCTCGAAACAACCAAATTTCAATAGATTTGAACGAAGTTTATTCACATCATAGTCCAGTATGACACCATCAGAACGAACAGTGCTACGAAATGCATTGAAAGTGAAAGAAGAGATCTGTTGAAAAGTCGTGATGCACTTCAAACTTGTAATTATAAAACAATGTTTTAAAAAATGGTGATTTTTATGCACAAGGGTTAGATCTATTCATTTATCTGCGCAAAAGAACATAAAAAGAATCGAAATCGAATATTTTTGTACGTAAAGTGTTTGGGTTTTTTTTTCCTATTATAATATTCTATCAGACTCCTTAAAATGTGCATTGCTTGGAAATATCTGGTTTCTTCTTTTTTTTAACTTTTTTTTTTTTTTGCCATTTCGTGCAATTGTTCAAATGTTGATCTTACCTCGGTTTCAAGGGAAACAGGTATTTTCAATTTTCCTTCAATAAAAAAAGGATGTATGTCTAGTTTCATCTGAATCTCCCACACGAGTGTCTTGAAGACAGGATAGCTTCCCTGTGATCCCTGTGCGCACTTCTTCCATTGTAAATGATTTTTTTCTAAAATTTACCGTACCCCCCCCACACACACACACACACATTGCCTACCCGATCACACCCTATCCCACCCCAAACCAGAGGCTATACCTAAATGCTCTCTCCCAAATCCTGTCCAATCTTGATCTCGTTCCCTTCCAAAGTCGTCTAAATTGGGTCGGTGGTGGGCGTGAAACATCTATATACATTTTTTTTATAAACATTTCTCTCTCTCTCTCTCTCTCTCTCTCTCTCTCTCTCTCTCTCTCTCTCTCT